GGATTCAATAAATAAATTAAGTTACATGAACTCATACTTGGAACACTTAATTCAACACATTTACACTGCAATTTTTATTCGTCTTTACATAAATTAAATTATTCAAATTACCTTAGAATTGGTACCACATGGCTTAAAATCTATTTACTGTCATTGATTGTCACTTTGTTGCCCTAATTATTTTGTGTTGACTCTACTTAATATCGTGCCTTCTTTTTGCAAAAATATATTGAAGATCAGTTAAGAAATTACCAGATGTTGAAAAACAGCAAACATTTACTTGTGTAACTTTTTTTGCAAACAAATTTTCATTCTTTTAAAAACAATTTTGTTTAAAATGTTGAAGAACAAGTAAACATGAAAGTTGTGTACATTATGTATGCTGCCAATATAATGATCTTGAAATTTCTCCCAAGTGCAGAACGTGACTGTCGTGGAAATGTTTATTTTACCTGGACAGAGACATGAGATTCAAGAACAAAAAGTTCTCTGTGAATGGTCAACAAGATTTATTTGCAATTGCAAGGCACACACCCCGTCACACCGAGCTCTCTGGTACAGAAATGTGTGCACCGAGGCAGTCTCAGATACACTCATTTCTACAGCATGTTATCAAAACAGACAAACTGTGCCAAGGAGAGAACGATGTTTGATAAACAGCAACAAGAATGATTACTTCTAAACAGATATTGTCCTGATAGATAACGAGTAAAATCATGAAACATGATGACATTATAGTAAGCAAAAGAGGCCACTGACACTTGGCCTGAGAAGAAATGTAGGGCTTCAAAGGATAAATTATTGTTTTAAGACAGTGACCTTTGCCCATCTCTTGTGGGCATTTAGGGAGAGAAAACTTTTAGATTTTTTTACAAAAGTGTTTTAGTCTACAAAAAAATCTCATTATGTATCAGAACACAAATTGTTGTTACGAATGATATGTTTGAAAGAGTTCAAAGAAATCAAAACAGTCCTATGCTGACTGATTCCACTCTGGAATAAAAGTCAAATATTCAATTTGGCTTGGTTGTTCACTGGAGTACACAGCAGAATCACAGCAGCAAGTCCCTCAACAAACATAAAACACTGAATTTTTCTAAAACCAACCGAACAATAATGAACTGCAGCACTGAAACACAAACAAGCCACATGTAACAGTCAGCAGCAATCTATGAAACATCAAAATACTAAATCAGAAGAAAAAATAAAGGTTGTGTTTAAATCACAATTTCAGAATGGCAGGATCTCTGACGCCAGCAAGCAGAGTGATAAAATATTTGTGGAGACAATGACGGTTGGCAGTTTTGGCAGACCAACTGCAGATTCCTTAGTGTCATATCTGTACAACCACTGCTTTCAGCTAAGAGTTGCACCAAAATGAGATTATTCAGAAAAAACATTTTCCATCTTCATATTAGAACTGTGAGATGATTTTAAAAAAATGGAACACACTGAAAACAAGAGGAGTGTCTGCTTTTGCCTCTGTCACTGGCATCCATAGCCTAAGCTGGTGGCAAAGTGTCCATTGTGTAATCAAGAAGCTCTGCATTTTTAAAACACAACTTTCTATGTCCAAATTATAACATCATATCCTTCAAATAGGTGTAGATAACATTTTTTTCTGAACAAGACTTGAAGACTTGAGTCCTCCAGGGGTCCTTTGGTTTAGCCAGTAGCTTGCTTTTGAGGGTTTTCAGTTTTGGGGAAAGCTTTGACCAGTCTAGCTCGATGAAAAGTTTCTGAAAGGCTTCTGAGCTCCTTGGGGTATGCAAGATTCTATGCATAAGTCACAAGCCCTTGGAAAGTTGCCCAGATTGGTCATGACCTTTGTTCCATCGATGTCCTCTGTACCCTCTGGCGGATTAGTCTGGTTGCTACAGACCTTCATCCCTTGTACAGCAAGGTCTTGTGCCACAATGTCTTCATCTGCATCCTAAAATAAGATTTTGTATCTTAGGCTGTAAAGCTAAAGGTGAACAGGCATTTTAACTTACATAATAGTCTTWATAAAGTTGATCAGCAAATTTCCCAAGGTACAGCATCAGACACCGGATGACAAGGTCTCTGGTCAAGTTGATGGTAGGATTGCGAGATGCCTAAAATAACAAATTAATATTAGTGAAGATCACAGAGCAGTTTTTAACAACAGAAGGCTTAGATTTAAAGAAACCACTGTCTACAATGTGCTGCAAAGCAGCAAGTCTCGTGAAACACTTCCTGTATTAAAAGAGGTTTCAGACAACCAGCAATCACTTCAGAAAGTGACTGGTCTTTGAAAAAAATACTCCATAACACCAAAGCAATGTTGTTTATCACTGATCATATGGGATCATAGGTACAGTTTTTCACCAAACTAGCTGCTTCCCAATGGTATACTGTATATGGTATACTGCTAATTATGCCTTCTAATTTACAGCAGAGAAAAAAAAATTCAACTCATTTCTACATACAGAGAGGTTTTAAAGGAAAACGTACATAGGCTCAAGTGTCATTTGCACAGAAATTAAACTGGTAAAAGAAGAGTAATGTACAACCTTCTCTATATTGACAAGCTGTTAGAAAGTTGGGATCAGGACTCTGAGCAGGGTGATGTCCATTCTAATCATAAGCTGTATGAGCACAAGTAATTATTAACCTCTCACATTAACATGTTGGTGTTAGCTATATGCTGTCACCATGACTAAAAACACAACACTTTGAAAACAAGATAACATGAAATAAATGGGGATTGAGGACGTTTATTTTGTGCCTTCGCGCTCAATTTTGTTGAGTTGGAGAAAGGTATGGAAGCTACGAATGGTACAATAAATTGTGTTAAATGTAACATACTGTATACTTGTTGGGTAAATCAYGGAAACAGACAAAAATGTTCAAATGCTGGACCAACATAGATATAAAATGTTACTATTGAAGCTTCTAACCTTGAATTCCTTGCAGTCGACAGGCTGTGCCAAGCCTGTGCCGATTTCAACTATCATGTGGGGCAATTCCTGGGGCGGAAGTGTACGACGAATAAAACCAAAGAGTTCCCATTGAGTAGAATTTATTGATTATTCAACATTGTTGAGCTTACTGATAAAAATAATTTAAATCCTACTCGGTAATTTTGAGCTGAAATTATTTATTAAAATATAAGCAAAATGCAGTTGACAAATGATTAAAATTCAACAGAACCAACA